CGGGGCTCTTTTTGGCATTTCCGGGGCTCTTTTTGGCATTTTGGGGGCTAAATCGCCCCGAGCCCTGTGTATTTTTCTACTGATATATATATATATATATATACATACATCAATTATATTTAAATAAATAAATATGTATGTGGTTCGGTGCATACTCGCAGGCGTGCATGTGTGTGCACGTGCGTGCGTGCATGTGTGCGTGCATGCGTGCGTGCGTGCGTGCGTGCATGTGTGCGTGCGTGCGTGCGTGCGTGCGTGCATGTGTGCGTGCATGTGTGTGCGGCGTGCGTGCATGTGTGCGTGCATGTGTGCGTGCGTGCGTGCGTGCGTGCGTGCGTGCGTGCGTGCATGTGTGCGTGCGTGCGTGTGTGCGTGCGTGCGTGCGTGCGTGTGAGCTACGAATCTGATGCCTATTCATCAGCTGCCAATTATATCCCACTACTCAGCATCAACCCATAACAGCCTGACCCTGTCAATACTATATCGACATGCCAATGCATCTATCTAGAGATGCCAACACATATTTGAAGCAATCTGTAGTTTCTGGCCATCAAATTAGTAGGTGACCTGAGTTTGCTAGGGGGGTCCGGCATGCCCCCCGGAAAATTTTTTAATTCTGAGATGCAATTTCTTGCATTCTGGGGGTCAAAAATGACAATAAATTGACAAAAAATGACAATAATTGACAAAAAAATTTTTTTTTTAGATGGCCATCAAATTAGTAGGTGACCTGAGTTTGCTAGGGGGGTCCGGCATGCCCCCCGGAAAATTTTTTGATTCTGAGATGCAATTTCTTGCATTCTGGGGGTCAAAAATGACAATAAATAGACAAAAAATGACAATAATTGACAAAAAATTTTTTTTTTTAGATAACAGTGAAATTCGTAGTTTGATACAAACTGGTCGTAGTGGTGCAAAAGGAATAGAAATTCGTATAAAATACGGATAAATCGTAGTGGTTGGCATCTCTGTCTGTCGCATCACTGACCACCTCCTCGCTATCTGCCTTTCCAGACTGTAACTACACGTGCCACCACAAGTGTCGCCAGCTGGTGTCGCTCGACTGCACTAACCCGCTGCGTGAGATGCCGGCCGAGACGTCTCTGATTTCGCAGCTCATCGAGGAGCAACCGAGTCCGTCCACAACTCTCAGCTCGCTCTCTAACGGCTCCGTCGTGTCTTGTGTGAGTATAGGTGGCGCCACCATCGGCGGTTGCGAACGCCCTAGAATTAGGAACATGGCCTATTGTACAGGCGACATTGTACTGTACAGGCGACATTATATTTAACAGGCAACAATACTGTTTAGGCAACATTATACTATACAGATAACAATTACACTGTGCGACCAACGTTTTACCGTACAGGCAACATTGTACCATATAGTCAACATTACACTGTACAGGCAACATTATACTGTAAAGACAACATACTGTACATACAGGACACATTATACCATACAGCCAACATTATACTATATGAGCAACATTACACTGTACAGGCAACATTATACTATACAAGCAACATTACACTGTACAAGCAACATTACACTGTACAGGCAACATGATACTATACAAGCAACATTACACTGTATGAGCAACATTACAATGTACAGGCAACATTATACTATACAAGCAACATTACACTGTACATACAACATTATACTATACAAGCAACATTACACTGTACAGGCAACATTATACTATACAAGCAACATTACACTGTATGATCAACATTACACTGT